CCCTGCATACACATACAAGATGTTTTTCTGTCTATCTTTGAAGTGTAGGCCTGGCCTGTGCAAAAAACTGCATTGGACTGGGCCATCGATCTATATGTATGAGATTCTATATCAAGAATAAAACTTCTCACTGGCATCGAATCAAAACGTTTTTAAGCTGGAAAGCTTCTATTGCCGCCACATAGACGATCCATTATGATGAAAGAGATTCAAACTCGATGACAACATAAACTCATTTGAATTGTTAAAATTTAGCTTGAACCACCTGAAGTTACAACAAAGTCACAAAAAAACCTCCTGCGCGCATAACATCACTGATTTGTGTACAGAACAATACATGACCCAAAGTCCAACAAGGTCTTTTGATTTACTTTGATCATAAGGAATATGGCAAGTTGAAAAGTCACTAAACAAGAATTATATATTTACTCTATATGGATAGGTCATCCAAGTGCGACCTGATGATCATTTGAGAGAGCACAAAGTTTTCTGATGAAACAACATATTGACAATTGTTGTCTACGTGTTGTCCTGTGCTTTTGCCAAGGAACGTACGAATCACTAAAGCAAAACACCAGCGGAGTCCAAGGGGGATGATCATTTCAGAAGACGACAAACTATACATACTTAACTTTATCCACCTCCTAAAGAAAAAAAGTGATTACAGGTACAAAGCAACCAAGACACGTATGAGAAAGTAACCTTGATATTCCAATAATTGAATCATAAAGATCCCCTCATTCACACGGAAGTTTTCACATGCAGAGATGACAAAACTGCACAGCCTGAGTCTCAATCCCAGGAAATGAATCTGGAGGGCCACCTTACATCGGGAAGATTTGACAGCGATTTTCCCCCGAGCATGTTCAAGATAACAAGAACCAAACTAATACAAATTTTGATCCTTTAATCTTATTTTGGTTTTAGTCCATCAAATTTTAAACCATAAATTTCAATCCCTTAAGTTTATTTTCATTTAAAATATTGATTCTTATAATCTAATAAAAACTTGGACTATCTTTTTTTGCTTGGGACCAAAACCTATAGTTTGAAACTTGAGCAACCAAAATCTAAATAAAAACAAACTTAAGAAACCAAAAATTATATTAACCCACAAAAACCATACCATGAGAAGACAGTACAGAAAGCTAATGGGATGGTTTAACAGCAAACATTGATTGATATGGCAGAACCAGAAAGAGGCAGAACACAGTACAATACGATACAATACAATACATTTAGAGCGTCTTCTTCGAGTTTCTTTGACACGAAAAAAAGGAGCGCCTTCGGATACACTTAACCTGGAATAAGGATCTCCTCCTCAACTCCATTTCAGAGGTATTGAGTATTTGCCGCAAACTGATATGTGCAGATTCTCAGCAAACTTTCTGAGAGATATTTATTGAGGCTTGTCTCTTCCTTGGAATACGCTGCTTCAGTAGTTAACCACCTGTACCTTTGGGCTTATTCCAAGTGGCAGGCATCGATGAAGATACTGAAAATTAGGTATAAATATGTACACTTAACTTGTCGAGTTGCTTAACACGCAAGTCTGGGTCCCTTCAGCCAAAATTTTAGAAGCTGAAAACAGGAAAAAGAGCTGTCAATAGTCATAAAGGAAGGACAAAAAGGCAACAAGAAATTCAAAAAGAATAAAGCCACTGAAATACGACCAATAGAAACTGTCACAGTACCCACTATATATATACATATACATATTTTTTCATTTATAAACAATAGTCACAAGTGAAGGCAATAGAAACCGCCAGGTGCCTGCTCAAATTATTATACATTTGTCGGCCAGTTGCTATAGGCTCTCGAATCTGTCCTAAAGCGATGGAGGACCACCTACCAGGCTACCCACTCAGCGCTACAGTCTGAGGTACTAATGCATTACATATAATAAATTTGCTCCACGATATTCTTGTTACAAAATTATAAAAACAGAAGGAGAAGGATAGGCTTCAATGCATAAAGCATCTCTCTCTTCAAAAAGTGTGCATATAGGAAGAAAGATTAATACCACCTCCTTGAATTTGATCATAAATACTAAACTCTAATCCATTATGATTCTCATCATTTTTCAAAATATATTTTAAAAGGTTTCTGCCTGTTCAATGCACATGATTAAAGAGAATGACTTAAAAAGACTAACACATATTTGTAACAAATAACCAATTTAACTAATTTTCTTAATATTTCTAAATAAGTTATCGATCACCTATATTAAGGACTAGAGGTTGTATAGTTTTTACCTGTACGTTTACAGATTAACAAACACGTTGGTTTTAGCAATATGTCTATTTAAATTTATCAAACATGTTTGCTTCAAATTTTAACAAGCATATCTAATTAAGTTCAGATAACCAATGTAGCCAACACAGTAATTGTAATTTTGTTTAGAGCCCAAAGCTGAAGCACAGATCAAATTTCCATGCACTATCTCCAGTCCTAATTATAAAACCAGTTAACTATTTTGGAGAGATTAAGAAACTTATTTAAGCTAGTTATTTGTAATGAATAGGTGTTGTTTTTTCTAAAATATCCTTATTAATCAAGTTTGTTATCTAGAACTACCATTATTAAAGGACTATATTAGAAAAAAAAGATAAATATAAAAAACAAAGTAGATTCGGATCTTATATTTAGAACCAAAATATAAGTCAAACAAAATCTTATATTAAGGACCAGATGTACTATATTTATTTGGGCGCATAACAATAATAAATCCGTTCTCCATCCAACAAGAGACTTCAAGCCTTGTGTTTATATTACAAATTATACAGATATACATTCTCTACTATTATTTAATAACATCATGTGCATGTACAGAAGGTAATATCTTGGTACCATTTGTGCTTATATTAATATATACATCTACCCTACATCTGATTAGAAAGAAGTGCGGGGAAGAGAAAATTAGATGAGGAAATAAGAAAGAAGATAATTTTTCTCCTATTTGAGCAGCATGAAAAGATAAAAGGAGGAGAAAAGGACAGGAGTAAAACATGCATGGGTTCACGTATTTTCTTAAAGTTTCTAGAGTTGAGAGATTCCAAAGATAGAATACGTGTTCTGAAATTGCTATGATGGGTCCACATCTTCTCTATACTTTTTATTTTCACTATAAAATTAATGACTTTTTTTCCCCCTCATGTTTTTACACTTTTCACCTATTCATCTAAACATATTAGGAGCAGATGCATTTTCTCTCCACTTGTGTTTTCCCTCCATTTTCCCAACCCCCTATCCTCCAATATGTTTTTCTCTCATTTATTGTTCTCCCCTCTAAACTGTTTATTTTCATCAATGTATGTATTTATGTGCATGCTTATAGAGAGAGCTTGTTATTTGTTATTATGTCTTTGTTACTTGAAACTCACGTCTCTATCAAAGACCTTGTCAGCCTCCTTCCCTAGGAGGGGACACACAAAGTTAATTGGATGCATATCCCCATTACCACAAAGGCACCTTGTGAACTTCATAGGTTCATCATGTACCAATTTACATTACCATAAACTGAAATTTTAAACATATACTAAAAGTTAGTTTAAAATTAATTTGGTCATAAATATAAAATTCCAATCCATTTCGTTTCTCATATTTATTTATTTTTTCTTAAAATAGTCTTTGCAGCAGTTACATATATTAAAAGTTTTATCAAATAATAATTCTAGTTAATACACATGGTTAGCAAATGTATTTTTTTAAAAAACAACATATACTGAAAGTGGTATTTTAGTGAACAGTCAACTTATGCTAACTTCTCGTCATCCACTAGGCTCAAAATTGGATTCTAACCTAGTATTTTGTTTTAAGGATTTAAGCAACGCTTCTTCAAAAATATGTTATACCGTATATATACTTTAACAAACAGATTTAAGTCCGCATCTTTCATTTCACATAGAATTGATTAAGTAGGTGTGAATTTTACACATTGTAAAAAATTTGAAGCAAGCAATGCTATTTATGACTTATAAATAATAATACGTCTTTATATAAGTTGCATATGTTAATATTTAATAACAAGAATATATCAACTTCATATATTTTCATCTGAGCATAATAAATAAAGTCATCTCACTTTGCCTCTTAAAGAAGTCCATTATTTGTCCAATACGATGCATCAAAGTTTCACCTTTATAATTAAATTAAAATAAACTATACAAGAATTATATGTATAGTTTGCATGGTCCCCATCTCATGTTTTTTTTTTTTATAATTTAACAGCGTTAATTAATAATTTATTACATCCACAAGAGATCCTGCAGGAGAAAAAAAATACCTTAATGAAGCTAGCTCCATACGCTATATAGCAATCAGCTAAAAAGAGAAAGGGTAAGTAATCAGCGAATCACCAAGTAGCAGCTAATGGGCAGTGGAGCAAAAAGACTGGTTGCCGTTAACAGAAAACACGTCATGAGGATGAATACAAAAGTGTCTACCCCACTCTAAAATGCTCACTCACAATTTCACATCATGCCATGTGTCTCTCTCAGATTGTAAGGATATAATTTGTCCACAGCATTATTATTTCATGTATAGGCTGACAGCGACTAGGACAATTATTTGTTGGCTAAAGATAGATCTAACAAGTAATAATACAAATAAAGATGTACGTGTAACATAACATGATAGGTGAGTTATGATAGTTTTTCAAATTTTAGAATATAGATGAGATATATAATACAAAAATCAACATATATATATATAAGATATCAATATATATTAACTCAAATTATCAATAGAAGTTCACGACAAACTAAAACTATATTTACTAATTAGATTATAGAGAGAGAGTGCGCACTCATAAACAAATTCACATGAAAAATAGCAACATAGAAAATTAAGTTAGAAATTAAATTCCAAATGCAAGAATAATGTTCACAACAAGCTATGATTAAAATTGAGTAAATGAGCTATATGATACATTATATAACTATTGGAACCGGATTTGTGCATCATAATAGATTTACCCATATTTTCTTTTAATATATCAAAATTTGTTGAGGCTCAGGAGATAAATTCCAACTTAAAGTTGATGCTTATTTATGATCATGTATATTTCAACTCAAAGGATATTCCCCACCCAAGCTTCCAGTCCCCAAGGCCAAGTTAGTTAAGCAATATTGTTTATCCAACATGTTGCTTTTTCGGATCATCATGCACCATTCATTAACACCTATTTCAAGATCTCATAAATCAATGGTTAGATACCAAACTTCGGATATATCTTCTAAATCTTTGTTTCTTCACCACTCCGTACACTTACTAATGTAATCTTTAAAGTATTCATTTTCAATTGCATCATGCATCCGACATAATAATATTTTGAAGCCACGGATCGTCAGTGCTTGTCAAGTAATGTCCCCCTGTCCAATTAAAGCAATAAGTGGATCCCTTACGTAAGTTTCTGTCTTATAGATTTTAGGACATCTGGTCGTTAATGTCAAAAACTAGATAACTAATTTAAAAAAATTTAAAAAATTAATTAAGTCAGCTAAATAAAACAAATGTATGTTAATTTTTCTAAATTACACTATTTAATTATGTGCGTTAGAACCATCCCTTAATAAGAACCTGTTCCAATCTGTAGGATATTTTAGAAAAAACATTACAAACTTTAGAGACAAGATGGATTATAGTATTGAGTAAAAAAAAAAAAAAATCATAGTATTATATTTAGAACCAAATTCAATGTTTAATTAGCTCTTATATTAAGGATTTAGGATTTGTAGTAGTATTATTATATGTTATTGACAGTGCCAAGTGATTGTGCATGCGTCTATGAGTGCATGTATCCTGTTATTTCCTAACAAATAATGAACCACAGCAAATTTTCAAATTAAGACTAGACACCATGCTCCAGTCTTGATCACTTGGGACTGTTTCTGTGTTGCGGCAAAGCAACTATATAAATGGAGTGATAAACTTCCCCGGAGAAAATTTTCAAGTTGAATGTTGGAGGTCTAACTAGAGAGATACTCTGATAGTGGATTATTTACGAAACCTATATAACTAAATAAAAGACAAAAAGACACAAGTGATATATCAGAAACACCTGCATAAATTGAGAAGCAAATACCAAGCCTTAGTATTGACCAAAGTATTACTTCCGGTCCTAATTATAAGAGCTAGCTGACTAATTTAAGGAGATTAAAAAAATAAGGTAAATTAGTTATATATGATAAATAAGTATTGTTTTTCCTAAAATATCCTTACTAATTAAGTATATTGACTAAAACTACTATTATTAAAATGATTACTTTGAAAAAAAAATACAAATATGAGAAATAAAATAGATTGATATCTTATATTTAAGACCAAGATAAAAGTCAAACTAGGACTTATAGGGACCAAAGGTAGCATATGATAAGCTAACTATATATATATAGGATATATGAATCTTGTTTGAGTGCATTCCTAATTAATTTATTTTATTATGCAACCTGCATTTTTTTTTTAATAGGATTGATCGTACCAGACAGACATGCATACGTGCATGCATCCTCTAAGAAAAGGGAAACCCTAGCTAATAAGGCCTCAAGCAAGGGATGAGGAATGGGGCTCAGCTGAAGAAAATACGTGAGGGCTACACGCATACACTGTAAAGAAGAGAACCTTGATAGGTTGACATAACTATAACCCTAAGTCCATCTCAGGCTCTCCCCAATTGACCCCATAATCTGTCCCGCAACAGTTTGTAATAATTCTCTATAACAAGCTAACATTGATATTGGTTCACCCAAAAGCTATATAACAATGTATTTGACATGTGTCAGTGTGCGTAGGGTCAATGTGAATGTTTGGTGAGTGCACGTCATCGTTATCCAAAATGCCCTGTTTCTTTTGCCAACCATTGGTTAGTTTTTGGTACCGATGCTAAGGAAGGAAAAGCAAGTTAGCAGATTTCGTGGATAGAGACTGTTTTCTAATCTGTCCCCACTTCAACCCTGCCTTCCTCCTATATACATACACACATACATATAATCGACTAGCATTCTACTTTTTATAAGATATATTCATATTCAGCTGGCTCGATGACTTTTGGCTATACCTGTATGATTCATCTTCGAAAGCAACAATGATCTGGTTTAATATATTTAGCGACCCAAACTGAGGGCAGCTTTTACGTCCAGCCTCCATGCAAATCCTCCACCGTCCATTCTCCAAGCATCACAAGGAACCATCTGCGAGAATTTCTCCTTCCACCACGTGTACTGCACTTTCAACTGGCATGTGAAAGCACTGTACGCCAGTCGTTCTCTCATCACTAACCTCACCTCCATCTCCGGCGGCTCTTCCTTGTCCTGATGATCCAGGCTCATGAACATCTTCCTAAACGCCCTATTCACCCACACAACCCTATTTAAGCCGTCTGATACGAACCCTGGACACGAATCCCCACCCAGATTGGTTAACTTCTCCATGTCTGTATACCCTAACCCTAGCGCATCCATGCACGTCTCACTCACGCACTCCACCGTCACCAACGTTTCCACCGATTTCCTCACCGGTGGCATCACTGCCATCTGACCTAACGCTTGATTACGATCATTCATCAAGTTCAAGTTCAAGTTCAGCCGAATAAAAGGGTTAATAGCTTCCCGATCTTCCTTATCTGTCACAGTGACCGTATGACTATACACACTAGTACTAGCGCTACACCAAGCTCCACCTTTCGATGGGACCCGTTGGTCCGCACGATTCTCTTCTAACAGCTGCAGCGTGGTGGCCGACTTGCTTTTTAGTTCTTCTTTTGCCACAGTACGCTCCCTGCCTTTATTAGCCTCTTTACAACTCCTCCGAACCCTAACGTACTTTCTCTTCGTTCTCCGTGCAGAAACGATGGTGTTATCATTGAACGCCGGCGATCGACCAAGTAGAGGCGCTCCCACAGCCGGCTTTGGAGCGATGGGTCGGAATCTTAGCATCAGGCTGTTGATCATCGCCTTATCCTGCAAGCCACCGGCGCATCTCGTGGAACGCCATGCCTCCCCACCATCCATATTTATCCTACCCACCCAGCACTATTAAGACCAGCTCATGGTTGGATCCAGATTTATGTCTCTCTCTCTCTTCTCGATCTGCGGGCGCGTGTGCAGGTTCTGAGGCAATTATTCTCTTCGCTGAGGGCTGAGAGAGAGAAACAGTTGGGGCCAGGTCGCTACCAAACTAGACAGAAGGGAGCGATGATAGGGGGAGCAAAAAGGCGAAGGCGAAAGGACACGTGTCCAGCGAAAAAGTCCAATACCATTGGGTGGATTGGGTTGAGACCGACAAAAGAGATGGGCCCGGCACAATGGAGTACGCAGAGCCGGTCCCACATAAGGACCAATCAGAAACGAGAAGGTGTCCGGCACTGCCGAAAGCATGGTACACGTGGGCTGTTTCCAGCATGAAAGCCGTACTGTGGAATGAGGTGGGGAAGAGGGCCTTGGGGAGCTTCCAGAATAACCACACGTAGTTGGGCTCTATTCGCGGCCCTCCTCCTGGAATCGGTGATGCCGCGTCTTTCTCCACTCGAGAGCAGGGTCGTGGACTTCACGGCCCACTCAGAGGGCTATGTTTTATGAGAATCGTCAGGCGTGGACACCACGCGCGTGAAGGCCAAAGAATAAGAATGTTTAGAGATATTTACACCCAAAATTAATGGATGTACCATATGAGACACGTTGCAGTTTTGTAGATAAGCGGATCTCGGCTAAGATTTCGTATGTCACTGTCTCGCATTAGTTGTTACATCCCTGCCACGTACCCCCACCGCTCTCCCCCCACGTTATCAGTTTCTTCTTTCTGTCGCAAATCCTCCTTCATTTTATTACAAGTAATAATCCTAACTTAATCTCTCTTACGAGAAAATAGGAGATAACAAGGCCATCTTTTCCCAACCATATATATCTTACAGTGAACATCAAAAAGAGCCCCCTCGTAACAAAGCATTCGTAAATTCCATGCAAAAAGCGTAGTTAGATTACATCTTTTCGTAGATAACCAAAAACTTCGGCGATTTATATCTCATCAACAAATAAATGACAATCAAATCATCTTCAATTTAATCTGCTTCATTAAAGGAGTTCGCTTCTTTCTTCGTAAAAGCTTTCACAGCAGGGGATTCGTCCGTGTAATTGAATATGATGTACATGTACGGGCTTGATATATAACAGTGCAGAGCCTTTTTTTTGGTATTCTTGTCCAGTAAGGAAATTTTAAAGCCTATTTTGTTCGGCTTATTATTCTTATTTGTGCTTGATGTCATTAGGTACATGTGTGCGTGTATGCGTGTGTGCATATATATATATATATATCCACACAGTACGTTTCCAGTGTGCTTTTGCATTTTTAGTGTTGATTATACCTATATTAAAATAAAATACATACTAATACATCTAACTAATGTAAGAAAAACTTAAATTAAATTGTAGTACTCAAATGTCATGAATAATATGATTTATTTAGTCTATTTATTTAAAAACGACTTGCATATGAACGGATTCCATTAAGCACATATAAAGCATAAAATAATAGATATTAAAGGATTCCCCCGGTTTTCCCAACGCCTTCCAAGTTTTCGCATTGGATGCTTAATTTATGATGGCTCAGTTACGTGTTGCTTTGAGACTCTTGCTTATTTTAAGAAAGTTTTTTTTTCTTTAATCTTACATATATTGAATATTTATCCAGAAACTTGCTCATTAAGCCTACTTGGCAATTTATCTAGCTTCATCTTCTATATGACAAATATGAAAAGACCCCACTTGATACTTTTCTCTGTGCTGCCTATCGAGTCCTTTCTCTCGTCCAAAATTGTGTCCCTCTTCTCAGTGTTATCGACATCATTATTTTTCTATTACCCCTCCATTATCATTATTAAAACATGTACAACTTCCCTGCTGCTTCTATAGCTATTCGTAACAGCAAATATCGGGCCCCTACCCACCCAAATAAATAGCACTCGGAACTTGCTATCACAACAACCGCTCCCCTTTTCTGCCCCAACCCTCTCCTCTTGGCAGAAAACAGCCTCAGGCCAGCTAGTTCCTCTTCCCCTCCCTTTTTTTCCCCCTCTCTCTATCCATCTATATCTATTCTATATATTATAATATATATACACACATTACAATAGGAATAGGAATATGTCTGGGTATAGCAGAGCATACATTTTATTTAACATTATATTAGATTATTAGATTAATCACATAGGTCATCCCCCCAGTCTATTTAGCCCCTATGGAGTGTCAGCGGCAATATATATTACATAGTTAAGCTAAGGGGAGAGATGTAACTATACACAGATAATAATTCACCCTCAAGCCCGGGGAACGGTACAATACTTTATGGGTAAGATAATTGCCAGTATTGTTGTTGTTCCTCCCGTTTACTAGCTCTTGTCCTCTCTTCAGTCCCAACCAGATAAGAGCCACGATCACTTCCCATCCCATCCCACCCCTAGCGCATAACCAGAGAGCTGCTAGCTAATAGCTATTACTTTTCATTTTCAACTTTCTTCAAACATAAAATAATACCTGATACATAGGCTCCGGCACTCTAATTCATCTCTTTCCTTCTGAATTCTGGTTTCTCAGAGACCCAAGCTCAGGGCAGCCTTGATGTCTAGCCTCCATGCAAAGCCACCGCAGTCCAATTTCCACACATCACACGGCACCATCTTCGTCCACTTCTCCTTCTGACACGTATACTGTAATCTCACCCCGCACGTAAATGCCTCGTATGAATAGATCACGTTATCCTTCACTTTCAACTTCACCACCACCTCCGGCGACGACCCTTCCTCGTCTTTACCACTCACCATCCTCTTGTACGCCTCGTTCACCCATCCAACCTTGCCCGTACCGTCTGATATGAACCCCGGACACGTGTCGCTCTCCAGATTCTTCACCTTCTCAACATCCGTACTACCTAACCCTCCTACGTTCGTACACGTGTCCCCCACGCTCTCCACCGTCACCCACGACTCCACCACCCTCCGGGCGCCGTTCAGGGAGCCCGTCGTTGCCCACAGCCTTGCCGGTTCAGGATTTCTCGGGATCTCAACTTTCTCCACTGTCACGTCCAGATCAACGTTCTTACACCATGAGGTCTCGGCGATCGAGCCTCCCGACAGTTCACTTTTCTCCGGCATCAACTGAAGAGTTACAACCGCGTTCTCCGGACTCTCTCGCATCTCAGATCTCTCAAAAGATCTGTTATTATTATTATTATCCTTTCTCCCACATCCAGTGTTCCTCCGAACCCTAACGTACTTTCGCTTCGCTCTCTTGCCCGAAAGCAACACCTTACTCGTGTTGTCCGGCACCGCAGCTCCGGAGGCAGAGCCTCCGGCGACCGGTTTCGGCGCGATCGGACGGAATCTGAGCATTATTCTGTTAACTACGGTTTTATCGCGAGAAGCATCCCCGGGGGCACGCGCGGCTAGGTTGCTCCATACATCTCCACCGTCCATCAACCAACGGGAGTTCCTAATCTGAGGCGCGGATCTCTTGAGAGTGTGAGCCAAGGTCGCTTGTTTTCGCTCTGTTGCCGAGAGAAGGGATGGGGGAGCAGGGAGGAAACGATAATGATAACGGCAGCGCGGTGGCTGGGTGAATAAGCAACACGTGTCTAGGGCAACAGAAAACAGTAGAGGGTTGTGATTGGATGAATTTTAATTTACGTGGGCCCCGCTGGGAAAAAAAAAGTGGCGTATCTGGGAGGCGTAAATCGAGGCCTGTGATTGGTCCCACGGCGGAGCCAATAAGAGACGCGATAGTGTCCAGCACTCCTGGAAAGAGGAGGGGCACGTGGCATCCTCACAGCGAGCACCATATTCTCTATTGGGAATACGCTTTTCTCTACTCGAGGACCTCAGCACGTGCTTCCCTTTGATTGGCCAGTAACAACCTCGTTGCGCTCTCAAACAGTTGACTCTTCCTTATCTGTCACTCTCTCAATGGGCGCGTGCCGTAACGTCCCTTTCATAATATCTTTGTGGATGGTGCATTCTTATTGGTCTATCTATTTGGGCCCCAGCTACGAAGTGACCTGCCACAGTGCTTGGACCGCACTCGCTTGGGCCGCAGCGTTGAATGTGTAATTGCTGATAAGTGAGTGGGTATGCATCCGCACTAACTGAACGCTGGACAAAATAACGAAAGCTCGTTGGTAATTTATTAGGAGGGGAAATTATATTTTAACACCAAATAAGAAAGATCGCATTCAGTTCAAAATATAAATGTTGGGTAGTAACTGCAGAACTAAAGAATGGAGCTATTATTTATGGCATAAATTATGAATTTTGGAAACTATTTAATATCTTTTCAATATGACAATATGAATATCATCTTTTTTATTTAGTTAACATATATTTTTTAATCTTTTAATTTTATATAAAAGTTTTAATTTAGTTTCTTAACTTCAAAAATATTTTTAAAAATTTTTAATTTTAAAATTCTCAACAAAAAATGATAATATTAAAATTTTAATGTTAATAAATATTCTGCAAAGTTAATATATTGAGTTTAATTTTTAAAATAACCAATATAATCATTTCAAACCAAGACTAATAATTTCATGACTAAAAATAAATTTTTTAAGGTGAAAGAATCAGACTAGAGTTTTGTATAAAATTAAAAGGCTCAATGTATGTTTTAATTATGGGAAGTACTCCCACAGTTCCTAAATTTAAACTTCAAATAATAGAATTATGTTTAACAAACTAGTAGTTAAAATTAGTTTAAAATAATTAATATACTAAAAATGTATTTTTTATATATTTATCATTATTTATTAAGAGAGTAAATGAGAGAGACAACAAATAAAAAAATATGAAAGTAACATTAATAACAAAAAAATACTAAATACAGTCAACTAAAAATAAAATTGAAAAATAATAAATATTTGAATAAATTTAAAAATAAAATTTATATTTTAAACGAGACTCCAAAACTTATATATGGAATCTAAGGAAATATAATTTTATTATAAAGAAACAAAATAAATAGGAACGCTAATACTAACAAAGAGACAACCGAACCAACGCAAGAACTCCGAACCAACAAAGCAAGACGGCGTCGAAATCAAAAGGCAAAGACCAGACAAACATCCGAAGCTACTACCCTGCGAATTAGACAAGAGAAGACTAGAGTCCCCCCCATTTTGTTTGTAACGACTTTCAAAACGGCCGTGTTTAATATAAAAATTTATTTAATTTTTATTTTGATTCTAATTATAAAATTCTAATATATTTTATCTCTGATATTTATCAATTTTTTTTCAAAATAGTCCTTATAATAATGGTAGTTCTAGGCAATATACTTGAGTAACAAGAATATTTTAAGAAAGACGATACCTATTTATTACAAATACTCTTACTAATCATGCATATTAACAAGGATATTTTAATATGTATAACTACTATAAGGAGTACCTTAAAAAAAAAAATGAATTGGGATTTTATTAGGATTAAATTAAAAGTTAAACAAGTCCTTGTATTAAAAACTGAAAGTAATATAAAGTACTGTATACATATACGAGCACAGGAGGCACATGCACGTATCCTATCCAATTTAGACAGTCTTCATATTTGTGGAAACAACAGATGTGGATCCATTACCTGTCATACTTCACAGAGCATGAAGCCACTACCCAAATAAGTAAACAACCAACCAACTTATTTTATTTGGGTCAAAAAGTAAACAGCCAATTAGTTGCCGTGCCCCAGCCTGTGATGGGTTATTGGTCAAATTAACACAAACGGTGCACACCGAATAGCTTCTTCTGAGTTGGCCTCTGGTTACATCAGTCCAATTAATTAAACAGCCTCCTTTTTCATCTCATTCGTCTCTAACCTCAATAATTGTCTTCCCAGGTGATCATACATGGTTTTCGTGATTTTCCATGAAGAAAATCTGGCAAACTTTGACCAAATTGTCCAATCTCAATCTTCCTTCCTTGTGCCTATCCACTACTCCTAAGAATAATGATTTTTTTTTAACTGTTCGTCTTCTTTTTCTTTTTCCTAATAACCTTCACATTACCCATAAACATGGCTCATTATATATTCTACACGCGCGCGCACAAGCATGAGGTCCATATTCAATTTTTACAAATAAACACACTTGTGAACGCACATATGATCTTAGTGTGATTTAAACTGAAATTGCAATTGATGGATCTTTAATTGACGCAGAATTTTTTTTTTTGGTTAAGCACAAATATTCTTGGCTCGAGACCCTTGATTCCATGCATTATGAAGAACTAAAAAGGTGTTAGAATAAGATTAAAACTATAGTTTTAAAAATATTTTTACGGTATACAAAATAAATATATGGAGGAGTTTGTCTCGATTTACATAAAAGTACTTTTGAAAAGTGATTCTTGGGGTATCCAAACACCCCTTAATTCTTTTTCGTTAGACCAATCCCCATTTGTTCATACAGAACATTATAACAGTGCAAGATTGCCTTTGCCAACTTATGAGGGAGAGCTCAGGGCCAGAAATGGACAAATGCACGTAATTCATGTAAGTTATTCTGGCAGAAATTGATGAATGAAAAAAAATAAAAATTAAAAAGTGTCTCATCGACTTATTTTGTTTAATCCAAAATGAACGTCAACATTAGCCCCAAAAGCGATCCGCTTGCAAAAATCAAGTGAATGTAGTGACTCGGACGGTTTAAAAATCACGGGCCCGAGAAGGGATATCTTTTAGACGGCAAATAATATCTCACATATTGGGGGCACATTATTTCTGTTTTAAACAAAAATTGAACAAGCTTCCAGCCGCTTCATGAACCGCCGGAGTTGAACATATTTCAGGCATCTTATATAGCCACCGGGGAATAAGTGAAAATGAAGGTTGAAGGCAGTTAGTTGACGACATCAACAACCAGCTTGCGAGACTTGAGAACAGACCATCTCAATCGACGGAAATAGGCAGCTTGAAGTAGTGCCAGGGATAGTACAAAAATCCATTTGAAACCCATCTGCATTTAGTAAGTTGGGTTAGAAAAATATGACATTATACATTGATCAGGTAGGGAAAAAATATATAGAAGGAAACAAGACCAGTTTTCTCTCTTCCATCTCAGGTTCAGCAGCCCAAGCCAAGAATGCCACGACGTCTTTTCCCATCTGCACATGGAAACAAATGAGCTTCCTACCACCCAGAGCCCATGGATATTGCATTTTGAGAAGATTTGCTAAAGCCACTCCTCAAGCCAACATATAGTTAAGAGGCAAATTAATATACCTGAGATTCTGTAGCAGGGGTGCCATCTTCATATTCAACAGCACCATCGTTCAGCATTTTAGGCATGGCGATTGCTCCACCAGGAAAATAAGGATTATAGTGCAATCCCTCTCTAATCTAAAAATTTAAAAAGAGAGATGATCATGATTAAGAGTTGAAGCCCCATATTGCAAGTTGGTGCAGAGAAAGACGTTCATGAACTTGTAAATTGTAATGATGATTGGATTTGAAGAAAACTAGATATTCGATTCAGCTTCCACGGTTTATGTCAATATATACAAAGGACTGATAACTGGACTAGCCAGGTTCAATGAATCAAATCATCATAGAGATACATTTTCCACCCAATACCATATGCTCCAGAATATGAAAAAACAGAATTTACCTATTAACCGTTACATGCTTTAACATTGAAATATACTGCTGCTTCAAAAACTGGCAAATTTCAACAATTCCCAGCAAAATGATTTGTAAATGCAATCATGCAAAATTTAAAAAATGAGTTGTTCATGAAGTGGCTTAAAGAAAAGAAATGCCAGGGCAAGGGCTCTTGAACAACTGCCCATCCCCAGAATAAACATGCATGCAGATTACAGGTAAATATTTCTGTGCCAAAGCCTCGACGTTATTCTTGCATCCTGAAAATTTTGGTTAACACACAAAATAACTTCAGCAAGTAGGATTTCAGGCAATCTTAGATTAGAATTTACCGAAACACCAGCAGGGGGATCACGATAACCAGTAAGAAGGGAAAATACATAGTTTTGACCATTGTGGCGGGCCTGAAAAGAAAAGAAAATTAATATTTTACAAATATACACCCCAAAAAAAAAAATCTAACGAGATCACAAATAAGGTATTGGAATTACTTTGGTAATAAGACTTAGATCTGGAGGATAAGCTCCTCCATTGGCAAACCTAGCTGCTGCTTCATTTGCATATGGTTGAGGAAAGCGATCACTGAGTTTACCAGGGCGTGTAAACATCTCACCCTCATCATTAGGGCCGTCAACCACCTCAATCTCAGCTGCCATAGCCTTTACCTCTTCTTCTGTATAGGCAACACCAACCAAATCACGGTATGATACCAAAGACATAGAATGGCATGAAGCACAGACTTGCGTATAAACTTGATGACCACGGCGAATCCTGCTCACCAAAAATTAGTTTGAAACATCAAGACCAACAGTACACAACTGAAAGTCTCTAGTGTTCACGTGAAACTTGTTTACAGCTCATGATACTTGCATAAAGAAGAATGCACATCCTAACCTCCCCAAAAATATAAACATAAGGTTGAGACAAATCAAATAATGCTCACTTCGCAAAAAGCTAATCAAAACTAATATGTAGCAACTGCTTACTGCTACCCAAATGCAGCATGGGAATAAGTCGAAAAGGGTTCAATTTCTGTCCCAGGAAGTCATATATAGAACCATATATAGTGTACATTCTCATGACCTTGCTAAAAGCCATTGTTAGATAAAAAGAAGGAAAATATAGGATACATTCAAGAAAGACTCACGAAGCATGATCATATGAACTGAGGATGCCCTTGTGAGGCCATGGATAGCTTGGACATTCCAGGCCATGCTCGGCCTCATCACTCGCTGATGCAGTTGTTGCAAAGCTCAAAAATCCGGAGACACCAGCTCCAAATAAAGCAAGTGCTCTCAAGGAACTTGTGCCAGTAGAGCCTGCATTATCTTTATTTGTGATGATGGATGACAAAAGGGACGGTGTCTGTGGAAAGCATAGAGCAATCGTTAGCAAAGAGGCATAATAGATTGTCAAGCAAATTGTCAGACATGGACTAATATAGTTTAAATATTACTAAGCCTACTTTCCCCATGAACCCTTGGGAATGGAGTAGAAATAAATTTACTGAATCAGAATAAAGCAGTGTTTAATAGCAACTCAACAACCAAAAAAAAAAAAAACATACTTGTCCATAAATATTCAATAACAATTAGCAAGTTAGCAACGACCTGGGTAACATAAATACATTGCTACATGCTATTCATTTGAAGAAAGTGGCATCTGCATTGTAGTAAAGGTACACCCAGAGAAAGAATGATTACAAATGGCAAAGACATATTGACATAGGCTATAAGACAGAAGAAAATACTTAAAATAATTGTGAAAAGAGTAAGGATTTGCTTAAATTTTGTATTTTGTATATTGCAAGGAATTTTCCTCTCGTCAATCACAAATTTTAACACTAGCATAGAAATATCTATTAGTTTGTCCACTAAGAACAATCCAGTTCCAACAGAAGAACTAGTTGCTCACAAATCATTGATGGTAAAATAAAGTTCATTCGTGGAGGTACTTCTTGTAATTTTATGAGCCCTAAAGACCGATTTGATGAATTCTTTCACAAACTAGCCGCAATAATATGACTTTACAGCCAACATAAAATTCTAGACAAAATAAAAATTACAAAACACAGAGCTTCCCTAATCTGCAAGCAAACCAATCCATAATGCATCTTCTCCAGATATGTATAACAACTGAAAACTTCTTTCCCCTTTCTAACCCCCAACCATTATTCTAAGAGTCCGTTTTGGGGTACACAGGCTGCAGGGGACAGAAATGCCAGTTTACTAAATTCTCCCCATAAAAGCAGGAAAAAAAAGAAAGAAAAGCCAAAGCTTACAGCGTGTTGGGACTGAAGTCTTCTCCTCAACAACTGCTGAAAAACACCTCCAGCCATCTCAGTCCACACTGTAAATATTCATAAAAGAAGATAGAAATGGATTATAAATACGTAACTAAATCATAGGCGATATTATCCAGCATAATTTGAATTCATTAAAACATAGGTCTGAATGTAGATTACACAATTATTAGCACAGTAACTTTCACCCGTTTCACACAAGTGACATAAAAAACCCAATAAGGCAAGAACATGAAGTTTAAAACATATGAAGTTGTATGAGTGACTGATATTTCACAAACAGACTTCCAGCATAGTCATCCCTAATTCCTAATAGCATTCTGGTTAGTTCATTTAGCCATCTTGATATGAAAACGTGCACGCAGACAATTAAGCCCGTTAAAAAAAAAAAAAAAAAACCCTCCCAATAAATGCGATTACCGCTAATTCTTTGATTGTAATACTTATCTTTTCCCCCAACCTCATATTGCACAAAACCCGCATCTTCAATAAGCCATAGACACAAGTTTGTCAATTTCTGGCATTTCGTTTTACACATCTTGCAATAGATGTAATATAAACAAACACGCAAGTGCAAGAACGAGATAAAAGTGGAGGACATAAGTACTAAGTGCAGCATTCCCAGTTAGATAATCTAACAAGAACATGCGAAAGGCAGAAACTTCGGGTTGAGTCAAATGATGAAGTTCCAATATCCCAAATCGAAAGGTGCCAAAATAAAACACTGAAGATGCTCGCTGATTTTGGTTCATGGCCGGCGAATATGCATGTTCAATTTTAGACATCAAAATTGAAAAGCAATGAATTTAAAAGTAGTTCACAGATCCAAGGAAGTATGATATTCAAAGAGAAACACTGGAAGCACTCACGAAATGGAGGCGACGAGTCCGAATACGAAGATTGGTTCTGAGATCAATGAAGAGGAGGGCGAAAGCAGCAGCAGCGACGACAACACATGGATTCGGGGAGGAGCGACAAAACTCTTCTTCAGTCGACGAGATTGTCACCGGGCCACATGGGCTTAAGCCCCAACTTGTTTAGACAAAATACTGGACCCGTTTTCATTTATTTTAAAAACATATTGAATTATCTTTAGCCCAGTCACTTTTTTTCTTGCAATAATATTGCGCGAACTTTAAAAATTAAATTGTAGCTCCAAATAATATTTCTTATTAATTGAAGTGGTATCTTGTTATCAAAAAATGAAATTCACAATAAAGCCATTTTTCTAAATTTTAAAATATTTTAAAATTTTTTTGTTCCTAGTGATGTTAAGAAATAAATCAAGATGGTGTTAAGAATTTTTTTAAGAAAAAATATAATGAAGTATCTTAAACATTAAAAAAAAAATCAATATGCAAGCTTTTCTAATGTAATTAAAAAAATTCTATTATAAGCGAATGATAAATCTTGTCACTAACTTTTTTTTTCATAGTAGTATCATATTCTTTTTTATTACCATAGAAAAAATGGCCGTCGCTGTCTATCCTCTTTTTGTCCTCACCTAGGCAGTAGCATTTTCATTCTTCAAAGTTCAAACGGTCATGGGCTGCCAAAGAGGAGCGTGGCCTCGTGCACGTGACAGGCTGTTCATCACCGAATGGGCCCCGCCCCCATTTATCCATTTTTGACGCTTTTCGTTGACGCTGATTCTAACGGACAAATGGTTCTTCCTCTTCCTCCCTTTTTATCTGAAAAAAATTAATTATCCTTATTTTATAATGCATAACCTCTCAATTCAAAAAACAAAAAAAAAGTATAGCCTCAAACGTCTCTATTGTTTGGTGAAAAAAAAGAAGTCTCTATTGAAAATTCTTTTTACTTTTTTTAAATGTGAAGTTGTAAGTGCTTTTTTTTCCCATGAGAGGTGTAAATTATCTGTATAAAATACACTGGTGTTTGGTACTAGTATCGTCGATTTAATTAGGTAATTTTTTAATATTGTTTTTTCTTATCCAAACAATTTCAACCTTTACAACCTCCAATTTCTTGGCAAAATAGCCTCCTCCTTTTGTAGCCTAGTTTTAACAAAAGAATAATTTTATGAATATTAAAAAAATACAGAGAATTCAAGAAACAAAAACAAAAACAAGCAACAAAACAAACTAAACAGCCCTAAAAAAACATAAAAACTAAGGTGTCTTCAAGAGACAAAAAAGGTCATTCAATTTCCATTCAATCCTGACCTATCTCTATGGTTGAATTTCTGATCAGCTTTCTAGTATTGTCCACTGAATTATCATTTAAATCAGCCATTAAAATGTCATATAGGCGAGACGATGTTGTCACAAACCATCCATTAGGTATCATTTTACTCCTTTCAGCAGCTGCAAAAAAAAAAAAAACAGCATAGTTTCGTTAAAATTTTTTAAGAAAAAATATAATGAAGTATCTTAAACTAAAAAAAATTGAAATTAAATATATCATATTTTTTGTTAAAATTTTATAACTCCACCTCTCTAGTTTTTAAATCAAACTTATTAAAAAATTTTCTCTCATCTCTTTTATTCTTCTCATACCAAACACATTGCAAAAGAATAATTAAACTAACTATACCCACACCAAGTTCTTCATGATCATTATGTCCAGTTCTCTAATCATAAATAACCATGCGTTTTATTTTTGAAATAATATCATTTAATTATGAATTCACAGGAATAAACTAAAACACATAACCATAGATGATTGGAAACCAATAAATATAAGTTTCCTAATTAAATCTATATCATGGGATGGGCAGCGAAAATCCATATAATTGGGCATTTGGCATAAAAACGGTATTGAATTTGATCTTCAAATCAGCAGCCTCGTTTATTTTGCACAAGTTAATGATTCCCTCCACAGCAGGGTTGAAGCAATAATAAATTAATATTAACTCTTATATTAAGGGTTGGATGTAATAATATTTTAATCAGGATTCTAGGAGGGAGTAGATACAATTATGGATTTCACTCAAATAATAAAGTTTAAAACTTATGAAGTGAAACGTTGACTAAATTTCCCCTTCACGAATGTTGACTTTGAACAGAACTATTCATTCATTGTCCATAAATGATTAATCGAATCAGCGAGTGTTCAGTGAATCATGTCAGATTCAAATTCATCTGGGCTCAAATGAAAACAGTTTTTCCAATGTTTTTCTGCATTCATATAGCTTAAAATCGAAGCATTGTCTAAGTATTACATTGAAAAAGAAAAGGCTATTTTCTATTAAATGATGGTTACACGCTAATTTATTAGAGACATGAAAAAAAGAAGAAGAAGAAACACAACAGACAGAGAGGTTTTAAAAAGACTGCTTAAAAATAAGATGTAAATATTAGTTCTGACAATATAAATATGAAAGGCTGTAGGTTCATATAGAAACTTAAATGATTAATTTGCAACTGAAATTATTGTATCTGTAACTGTTTAAACCCATATCTGCAACACACTCTATAATATTTTTTTGAGACTTATGTGTCACTCTTAAAGTAGGACGAAAACGATGGATGAAAAATGATGGAAGAAAACTTGAAAAAAAAGAAGAAGAAGAGGAGAGGTAGAGTTAAATTTTTGTTGTTTATTATTTTCTGGTAATTTGAACATGATGATCCGCTAAGAAATTCTAAATTAGGACGAAAATGACAGAGATGGTAGTCTTTAATCAAATTATTCTTCTTAAATTGTTTTTGGCCAACTACTTTATCAAATCATTAATGCAATGCAAAATGGCTCAACGACCCCAGTACAGTACGAGAAAATTAATGTTGCGAGCTATAAACACTGCCTTGCTATAAATGTCACCATGAACCAATGCCTCGGTAAATTGATTAGTCCAGTGCGCTAAGATTTTCAGCTTCACAATCTTGCTAATCAAAAAGCATCACGCAAATACCCATCAAATTAACTGTAAATTAAGACCGAATGCAAATCACAAATTGACCACTCACCGGGAATATGATGGCATTCATGCAATTTTGTGGAAAATCATTGGACACTTGATTAAGGGTAGGGAAAGAAACAAACAAAAAGAATATTTTTCTGTTATGTATCGTCGGGAGTCAGTCCTCAGTGACAACCTGTCCTGTTCCTTCGCAGTTCTGCAACCAGATTTGTTATATCTCGGGGGGTCATTTTCTTCTGTAACACACTGCTCTTCTCCTTCTCAGTTTTGCACATTAAACGACGTTCTGGACTCCGTCTTCTATATCTGTATGGTTCAGGGCGCCAGGTCCACTCAACTTGCCCTGTTTTATCCTCTCAGACAAACCGAAGCCATTAATGACAACCATGCCATTTCTCTCACTCTCTCTGGCATTTATTTCCTCGCCATTCTTCTTAGTACGACCTTGTAAACCGCCACACTTATCGCCTCTTCCATTATTTCACAAGCAAATTTTCTCATCAAAACGAAGCCGTGGTGTCTGATGCCGAGTCCCACATCCCAAGGATTTGTCTCCTATATCCTCTGCATTGATCTTTGATCGATATTTAGATATTAGATTAATTGCTTGTCGTGTTCACGCCACCGCGTTCTTCTTTATGAGTCTATGATTAATGAGTTTGTCCGAGCACAAGGCATCATTCAGCAATCTGCGAAATTTCTCCCTGTCTTTGCCATTTCGGGGAAGTTTGGGCCCTGTTTAATCTGTGGCCTACAATCTACGAGGCTCTAAAAAGAACAAGAAGCGTGTAAGGAGCAGCGAGCAGGTGCTGCACTATCCGACGTAGTTATTGGAGACAGAGAAGCTTCTTCTTTGGTTTTTGTCTGTAGAACTAAATAGAGGGTACAGTCTTCAGTGCATTCTAAATTTGAGGCTTCCCTATTCCCTAAAAGGATCTTCTTTCGAGTCTCTTCACACATTCATGTGAGTTGTCTTTTCTTCCCTTGAACTTAGCAGCTCATAACCTCTACTAATTTTCATGTTCAAATTCGTGAAATTTGGTGCCTGATGCCACAAGCTGATCCAATGAGACGTTTGCACATTTGTTTTCTGGTTCTTTTGTGGATTTTGTCTATTCCAAGTACCCATGAACTACAAGTTGCCCAGACCCAAGTCTTACTACAGATGAGGATGTATTTAGAGTATCCCGCCTCGTTGCAAAGTTGGGGAAGTTATAATGGGGACCTCTGTAACCTTTCTTCTTCTGCACATGTGAGCATTAAATGTCAAGATAACTCTGTATCTGAGCTTAAAATTAGGGGAGACAAAACTGCGAAGTCCGATGAGTTCAAGGGGTTTGCAATTCCCAATCAAACGCTGTCGACGAACTTCTCTATTGATTCTTTTATCACTGCATTAACGAGGTTGACCAGCTTAAGGGTTCTTAGCCTGGTGTCCTTGGGAATCTGGGGTCATCTTCCGGATAAGATTCACCGATTATCTCTGCTCGAAGTTCTGGACTTAAGCTCGAATTTCTTATTCGGTTCTATCCCGCCGAAAATTTCCACAATGGTACAGCTCAATACATTGAAAATCGATGACAATTATTTCAACGATTCAATGCCCGACTGGTTCGATTCATTGTCGAATCTAAATGTCTTGAGTTTGAAAACCAACACCTTGCGGGGTTCATTCCCCTCATCATTGTGCAAAATTAAGAACCTCACCGATATTTCTTTGTCTCGCAATGAGCTATCTGGTAAATTACCTGATTTGAGCGCTCTCACTGGCCTACGTGTACTGAATTTAAGAGAAAACCGTTTAGGTTCTAAACTGCCATTGATGCCCGCAGGAGTGGTCACAGTTCTGCTAAGTAATAACTCATTTTCTGGCGAGATACCGAAGCAGTTCAGTGAATTGGGTCGGCTTCAACATCTAGATCTCTCGGCAAATCATCTGAGTGGAATACCTCCATCTTTCTTGTTCTCATTGCCAAGCATCAGCTATTTGAATTTGGGTAGCAATGTGCTGAGCGGGTCACTTCCAGATAAACTAAGTTGTAGCAGCAAACTTGGTTTTGTGGACATTTCTAGTAACAAATTAATTGGTGAACTTCCTTCTTGCTTGGCCAATACGTCCAATAGAAGAGTTGTCAAATATGATGGAAATTGTTTAACTCTCGATTCTCAAGATCAGCAGCCAGGTTCTTATTGTGAAGAATCCAATACGGAGAGGAAGAAATCAATGGCGCGGAAAATAACGTTAGCAGGGGCCATCCTTATTGGACTTGTTCTTGTCCTTGGGATTTCGGTATTAGGAGTTTTCTTTTGTAGAAAATGTCTGAGGAGAAGGGCAGCTAAGCATCATTTGTTGCCAAAGAACGCGCAAGATAATTCCACTACAGGGTTTTCATCTCAATTCCTCGCAAATGCCAGTAAGTATGCTAGTTAAAGAACAAGGTTCTATTGTTCGATCTTAATATAGTAAACTTAGCGAGTCTTCAAGTCTGTAGTTTTTTATTGGATATGCACATCTGAAATAGTTAATGTTCTGTTTTCAATTTCTTTAAGGGTTCATTTCTCAGGCAGTGAAGCTAGGGGCACAAGCTACATCAATCTGTCGACCAATTTCAGTTGAAGAATTGAGGGAAGCCACAAGAGACTTTGACTTGTCAGCTTTTATTAGTGAAGGCTCCTTAGGAAAGGTACCCTTCAGACTTAAAACGTTACTTTAACTGTTCTTTTTTCCCTGGTCTCCAATTCTGTGTGATTTCCGCATTTCAGCTATACAAAGGAAAACTAGAGAATGGATCCTACGTGGCAATACGATCTTTAGTTCTGTCAGAGAAATGCTCAATTCAAAATCTTAAAGCTCGGTTGGATTTATTCTCAAAGCTTCAACATCCAAATTTGGTCAGCCTATTGGGTTATTGTATTGATAATAGTGAACAAGATGATTCAACCACCTACAAACTTCATCTTGTATATGAGTATGTGCTCAATGGGAGTTACCGAGCCTATCTGTCAGGTTGGTGTGGCATCATAGTGTATAGTTGAGAGCTTAAAATATCACCATTTGTTGCTTTCTTCGAGACATCATATCTTGTTTCTTTTATCTGGAATTGCAATTATACAGAACTCCCTACTCAGGATGAAACTACAGAGAACTCGTGTCCAGTTTTTTTAGCCCCTCTTTATATGACCGATTTAATCTCGAAGTTCTAGACCCACTAATCTAGCTTTATTTATACCTGCAGAGTTTTCTCTAGAGAAGCCGCTCAAGTGGTCTGATAGATTGGCAATTTTAATTGGGGTTGCCAAGGCTGTGCACTTTTTACATACTGGGGTTATTCCAGGTTGTTTTAACAACCGATTGAAGACAGACAATATTTTGCTTGATGAGCATCGCTTTCCCAAGTTAAGCGACTATGGAATGTCCATCCTCGGAGAAGAGATTGAAAGGTTTGAGGTATGTTTGCTCGCTATTGAACTCAGCTGTTTGACCTATATGCAATATGAATGATTATTTAGTGACTCGTTTCTTTCTAATTATTGGACAGGCAAAGAGACAGGACTCAAAATCATGGTATGGATGCTGATAGTAGCTTATTTTACTACCAGTTACTGCTTATAACTGGATTTTAAATTTGCACTCCCCTATTGCCCTCTTTATGCATTGAACTCATATCCTGTTCTCACAGCCACAACCATAGCCGTTGCTATATTAGTTGTCTTAACATGTTGGCCGTTCTACTCTTTATGAAAAGTAGAATGCTGAATGTCTTGCATATAGTTTAAAATCCTTTTTCTTCAATGACATATTGGATGGTTTGGTTCTATTTGTGTTGTTGATCAGTGACCAACAAATCATTCTGCCCAACTGTTCTTGCAGCCAAAGGGCAGCATTTGAGGATGATGTTTATAACTTCGGGTTCATATTACTTGAATCACTTGTTGGACCTATAGCAAGCGGACAAGGGGAAGCGTTTTTTCTGAATGAGAAGGTAACAGGAAAACTTATGGAAACCTGTGTCTCGTTGAACATATTAAATGGCTGGGTAGTCTTGTACTGTGAAATTTTCATATTCTTCAATCTTTGCTATAATGAGGCTTCCAGTTCTTTCTAAAGTTTCATCCCGACCTTTAACGTTCAATTCTGGTCAAAGTCCTGAGAATTCACGAGTTTTAAATTTCTTGGATGAATGACAAAATGCAGAAGTTTTGGGATACTGATTTGTTTATGTGAACAACAGGCATCCTTCGGAAGTCAAGATGGCAGAAGGAAAATTGTGGATCCCATAGTGTTGACATCTAGCTCTCAAGAGTCATTATCAATCGCAATAGCGATAACAACCAAATGCATATCTCCAGAACTTTCCTCTCGCCCCTCATTCGAGGATGTCCTGTGGAACTTACAGTATGCAGCTCAAGTGCAGGCCACAGCAGATGCAGACCAGAATTCAGAATCTACATCAGAATCTCAAGATTATAGGAGGGACAAATCCTGGGATTCAATTGGTTCACATCCTTCTCCGACAAAGCAGATTATTAAACCCCAGAATCATCGTAGGATCCATAAGTAACTGCAGTGTCAGATTGCAACAACAGATGTAAAGTTGTAGATGTTGTTTTTTCATGTCTCTATAGAGTTTTGATCAGGTAGAGGTAGAAGGGATTGATATTCTTTATAGAATCAGGAACAAGAGTTCAAATTCAGGACATTAAAGCAAGTCATGAACTTTTATAACCGCCGCCAGCATGAGGTCGTGACGAAATAAAGTTAGCGGTTACTTTTCTGATTAACAGCTTCTTGTGCCAACTTCTAGCAGGAACTTGTCTGTCCTTTTATTTGTAAATAAAGAAGAGTTATCAGATTAGAGGGGCAGAGGGAATATCTCATTGCTGAACTGAAACAAAAAGGAGAGGGAAGGAGGAGCGTCAAATCCCACTTCAAGGACAGACAAATCTATGGCTTTATCTTGGCAAAAAATAAAATGTATAACGTAAAAGCAAAGAAAAATATCATATATTTAAGGTATACTTTAGTCAGTCGTGATCTTGAAGTGGACAGCGCAACCGATGACATTATCCGCTTTGGAGAATGAAGTTAAGATTATTATGCCAAAAAATAAATGGATTTGCAAGCTGAGCTTTACAAGGTAAACTAGTTAACCGCACATTGGTCTTGTACTATTATGATGGAGACTGGTGCACCCAACCTTGTAAGGAGTGTTAGGTGACAAATAGCACATAAGCTATGCTTTAGCCCCTTTCGTGCTTTGATTGCTACACACTCACATCAAATTGAAATTCAGGTCACTTGAAATTCCAACTAGAGCAGGGAGCTATACATGCTTTCTAATTTCTATAGATTTTCCCCCTTTTCTTGTGGGTGATGTTTTGAAGATCTCAACCTAACCATCAAAACAAGTTTGATGTTGCTTTTCTTGAAGGGATGGCCTGCTTGATTTAAATCCTGCAGTCTGAAATTGCAGACCACTCTATTAACATGCTTTAAGCGAGCGAAATTAGCTCTTGCATTGGACACAACTAAACAAATCTCTTTCTTGTGTATCCCTTTTTTGCCCACCACGACATAGCCAAACAAATACAAATCTCACAGAACTAAATCTTTGATTAGAGGAAAAAAATATTGGCCGAAAAGAAAACGTAAAAAATGGGAAGACGGAAAAAATAAGACCGTTGGCTAAATTCGTAATCTTGCACACGAGTATAGAGATTTGAGAACGCCCTAACTTAATTCAGGCAACCTCTGTTTCAGAACATCGTTTTTCATCCCTCTGATTTTACAAACATTTCAATTGAAACTCCTGCAATTACTTTCTATTTGTTTTACTGACGCCGTAATGTAAGCATGGCACCAAGCCACTAACCCTAGATTCCCATGAAGTCAGCTTTTCTTTACTTTCTCTGTTTTCTTGGCTGTATAGGGTTGTTTGGAAGCATCCAAAAGTATTTCACAGAAGTATTTTTTCGCAAAACGAGACAAATTCCTCTATATATTTATTTCGTATACCGTAAAAATATTTTTAAAATCATGATTTAGTTTTCATCCAAACACCGTATTTAATAATTGTTTACTAATATTAAGAAGATAACATTATTGAACTGAATTGGAGTACGGACACTGAATTGAAACTCGAACATTTACCTGAAGCCATATACCTAGGCATTGTGCTTCAAACTTCGAAACGGACAAGAGAAATAATGATATAAGGACAATATGCATGTGAGAACCATGGCGAGAAGAGCCAAGCCCCTGACACATTCGAAAAAGAAAGGAGGTCAGGGTGCAAATGCACACCACTATCCCTAAATTCTCAATCCATTTTCTTGGGACTATGTCCATAAATTTTGTTTTGGCTACTTAGTACAATTGTCATGAAAATTTAACACTGATGATACAAAATAATAAATTACCGTGTTCAGCTTGTAATTTATATTCACCGTCATCTTTTTTATTTATTTTTATTTAATTCCGTTTTTAATATTTTATTGTATTTTTGGGGAGGCATAACATCGTCAGTCATCTTTCACTGTCAGCTTGTGAGTCCCACAGACTCAGATATCTTGGAGTCTCAGAAACGAGGACCCATTTCGGAGTCATGACAACGAACTTCTCCAGCTAGTTTTTGCCGCTTTGTCAGTCCTACCACTTCCACCCACTACTTTTTCCGGTAAGCTTACCTTAAGCTAAATCTGCCTCTTGTTATGTTTTACGCCTTTTTTTGGTTTTTAAATGCATTTGTGTTCATGTGTTTATTATTTAACTTGCAAGTAAGTTCATGAAATTTTTGCTTACTTTAAGCTTCAACTTGCATGGTTCTTTTTCTTGGTCAAAAAAAAAAAAAAAACTTGCATGGTTCTTTTAATGGATTTTCTGACGCACTCCGCCTCGGTGGATCTGATGTTTCTTACTTTGGTTATGAGGACTAGCAGGTGAGAATTTTCTGCATTTGTATGTTAGTCCAGCTCGTAAACAAACTCTGTTTATATGCTCAATGCAATCATTTTCTGAAAGGCGGGAGGTTTTGTCCTGACTTCATTTTCAACTTTCAAATAGTATGTGTAGTGGCTTCAGTGTCCAAGTCTTAGATATATTCTCAAATGCTGCGTCTTGCTTAGCCAACTCACTGTAGAGCTCTCTTGACTCTCACGGTTTCTCATCCCTTTCTTCTCATCTTGAGTCAGCTGAAGCACACTCACAGTCAGAGACGAAAGGTAAGGGCCAAATAGATTTTTTCCCTTAATGATTCCATAGGAATACGATCTCAATTTTCTCATTCTCTGTATTGCATTCTCCTGATTTCTGACTTCTATTATCTTTAAAACGTAATCGTCCATCCTAATTTCCTGCACTTAATCTGTTGCACTTCAGAGGGCTTGTGATTTCACACATCTCACAACATTGAGGTTTGAAGTGATTAATTCATCAGTACAGGAGTCATCATATCTGCAGCAATGGTTCTAGGCTTGAAAGGAAAGAACAGGAGAAGTACCACTGTTCAAATTGATTACCTTGTTCATATACAGGAGATCAAACCTTGGCCCCCTACTCAATCCCTCAGATCTCTTCGTTCTGTATTAATTCAATGGGGGAATGGTGGACGCAGTTCAGGTTCTACCAATGTTGTTGTCCCCTCTCTTGGTTCTGTTATCGGTGAAGGAAAAATTGAATTTAATGAGTCATTTAATCTTCCTGTTACTCTGTTGAGGGATATGTCTGTCAGAGGCGGTAATGCTGATGTATTCCAAAAGAATTGTTTGGAGTTCAACTTGTATGAGCCTCGAAGAGATAAGGCTGTTAAAGGTCAGTTGTTGGGAACTGCGCTCATAGATTTGGCAGATTATGGTATGCTCAAAGAGACGTTGAGCATTAGTGCTCCATTGAACTGCAAGAGAAACTTCAGAAACACAGATCAACCACTTTTGTTCATTAAAATTCAGCCTATTGAAAAAGATCACAATAGCTCGTCCTTAAAGGATAGGTTTTCAAAAGCTGTGTCGAAGGGAAAAAGTGTTGGTGACTCTGTCTTGGAATTGATGAATGAAGAATACACTGAGGAGGCTGAGATTGCCTCTTTTACTGATGATGATATTTCCTCACATTCATCTGTGGCTGCAGTTACTCCTGCCCTTGAGTCCAATGGAAACATAACTCCTGAACTTCAAGAGGTACCTTTGTTTTCTTCCATTCCTTCCTCGTATTGACTGAAGCGTCCACTCTACCTTTTTGTAACTGTGTTAAGATTAATGTGCGTGACTATTTATTTGCAAAGGCCTAGTCTTGTGAAAGATAGAACATGACCAATTAAAGAGATAGAGAGGAAAAAAGGGGATCTTTCACTTGGGGCTTGTTGGTCACTTTTGACGAGCAAACGTTTTTAAAAAGGCATTTTTTTGCCGTAGTTTTTTAAAAGGCATTTTACAGTGCAGATTTATGTTCTATGTGTACTCATGCAATCACTAGTAACATCCGTTGGAGAGGGATTAGAGACCACTAATGCATGAAAGCATCTTTGTTCTTCTGAATTTCATGTAAAAAGAGAAACTGTATCTTCGCTTTCCATCAATGGCATAATAATGCAGTCTGCTTGTTGGTTGAATCTCAGAATATCACAAATCCTCATCATACTATATTATTTGATATGATAATTGTAACCAAATCGCAGAATGGATCTACTCAAAACACAGGTAGGAATGATAAGAAGCATCCACTGGCTTTGGAAACAAGGATTGGAAAATTGAATACAATACCACAAGATACATATAAGAAGCTGGAGAGGAGTTCACCATACACATCGTCAGTGGATGAACTATCATCTCATCTTGAGAGTCCACTAAATGGTCAAGCTTCTATTAGTTCTCATCATAGGTCAGTGACATCCCAAAAGCATGTTGTCTCGTCAATCAGTCATCGTTCTTTCCCATCTTTGGCACTTGATAATTTTGACGAAAATCCTAAGACCAGGACTGACAGCAGCTACTACGAGCATTTGAATCAGGAGTTTCAAATAAATGCTGATACAAGTGGAACTATAACTACAGATTCTCAATTAAACCGCAATGAATACACTTCTCATGGCTATCCTAGCAACGCAGCATCTCCAGATAGTAATCACTATGAGGGAAAGAATCCTGGCACTGCAAGCAAGGATGATTCTGAAATCAACGACAAACTTTATAAGGGATGTAAGGAAGCTGAAAATTATCATGTGGAAGGCATAAGTGATAAATCTTACCGTACTTCTGTTGAGGATAAACATGAAAATGAAATTTCTGATTTGTATAAGCAATGCCACGTGACGTCAGATGAACAATCTGTAACTGAAGGTGTCAAAGATCAAATCTCATTGAGTGCAACTGCATATAATGGGACAAATATTGGTTCAAAAGGCCATAGTCTGAAAAGTGAAAGATTAAATCATGTAAAGTCTGTAAGGTCACCGACAGACTCAACACTGAGTACAGGATCACCTGGCAGCAATCATCATGCTGAAGTGAAGGGTGCTGGCATGGTTGGAGACGCACAAAATAATGGAGGGAATATCAGAGTCAGTGACAAAAAAGATTCCAAGGTTTATCCAAAAGAAGCAAGGGGTTCAGTTTCAGACAGTAAAATCAATCTTTTGGAAAGCAAGATAAAGATGCTTGAAGGAGAGTTAAGAGAAGCTGCGGCAATAGAGGTTGCTCTATATTCTATAGTTGCTGAGCACGGAAGCTCCATGAGTAAGATATATGCCCCAGCTCGGCGCCTTTCTAGGCTGTATTTTCATGCTTGTAAAGAAAATATTCAAGCAAGAAGGGCTGGGGCTGCTAAAAGTGCCGTTCATGGACTAGTACTCGTTGCAAAGGCGTGTGGAAATGATGTCCCAAGGTACACCTGAGCTAAACATATTTTCTATTGCATATAATTTTAAGCATTTTCCCGCCAACCTGTTGAAATTTGTGCTAACAGTGAGGCTAAGAAGTGATCATCATCCACTTATTTCTATTTATAATATTACTTAATATAATCATAAATACAGAAAACAGAAACGGAAAATAAACTATCATTAATAACTAATTCTCTGGATAATGGTGAGGGAGGAAAGATTACATAGTATCATTTATCCTTTAACACATCATATCATGAATTAAGTTAACATTTTGATATATTTTGTAGTTCAAGCATCAAAACTAATTGCATCGTCATAAAAAGTTAGAGGTCAGTAAAAATGATATTGCCTTTGATCAGTTAATTGAGAAAACAAGGGGATTCGTCAGCTTAAATAAAGTTTCCTTCATTATTTGCTAAGCTTGCCTAGATGGCTCTGTCAAAATACTTACAAAATGAGACTTAGCTTAATTTAAACTTTACAAATAATTAGATATAAGATCAAATGGTGAATGCAGTAGATATCTTGCCAACGGTCCTATCTAATGAGTCAGAGTAGTGGTTAGAGGTTGATGAACTGATATGATATTTTGCTAGTTCTTGCTACATTAGAGAAATTATATCTTCATCATAAGCTCTACCACCTGATTGACCTCTGGCACCCGACTACAGGTTGACATTTTGGTTGTCTAATTCTATTGTGTTGCGAACAATTATATGCCAAACCATAAAAAAAGTGGTACCCTCTGCTACTGCTGGACCTAGTGTCAAAAGGAAAACTGGGAAAGAGGGGAATGACAAGATAACTCTCTCGTTGCGATGGAAGGGATCCTCTCCCAGAAAAAATGAAAATACCACTGTTGAGCAAGGAGGTTTTGGTAACTGGGATGACCCCCTTGTATACATATCAGCACTGGAAAAGGTAGAAGCTTGGATCTTCTCTCGCATTGTGGAATCTATCTGGTGGCTGGTAATCCCTTAACTATTTTCTCCTTCAAAACAACCCTAAAGCAGCATTCTAGATCTGGTTAAATATTACAAAATCCTGTTGGCATCTAATCCGAGTTCTTCCTGGTCTGTATCCAGACTATGACTCCACATATGCAACATCGTGGTGATGCAAAGTTCACCAAAAACGGTGCAGGCTCTTCCTCATGGAAAACCTTTGGAAAGTTGTCTAGCTCGCGTGATCACGAACAGGGGAAGTTTTCACAAGATATTTGGAAGAATGCTTTTAGGGAAGCCTATGAAAAGCTGTGTCCCATTCGAGCTGGAGGGCATGAGTGTGGCTGTTTGCCAGTGCTATCTAGACTGGTTAGTCTATAATTTTCCCCCTCTACGATGGTGTCGAAACGTATTTCTATTATTCTTTCTTTTTTGGTCTATTACTGTTCCTGATTTCAAAATTCTCTTCTTCTATGGAATTTAATACCTGAGATTCCTGGTAACAAGTGAATCTTTAATAGAAACTGCTCCTTGAAATCTTGAGTTAGTGATAATGACCGTCATGAGGGTTGCCTCTTTTATATCTGGTCCAATCTTTGATTCAGTTGAATCAGGATGGTTGACTTGCAAGTTACCTTCATGCTTATGATTTGTGCAAATTGCTTAATATGTAATTACTCACAAAGCTCCTGACCTGCAAGTCTCGAACATGACATCAGAAAGCTTTTCTTTTGCTAAATCTTAGATAATGGAGCAGTGTGTGGCAAGATTAGATGTGGCTATGTTCAATGCAATTCTTCGTGAATCTGCTGATGAGATCCCAACTGATCCATTATCTGATCCAATTAGTGATCCCAAGGTTCTTCCAGTACCCCTTGGAAAATCAAGCTTTGGAGCCGGTGTGCAGCTAAAAACTGCGGTATATTTCTCATGCACTTGCGTGACCTTCAATATGACTCACATAAACCTGAAAATACAAGTTCAATTCATGTTTTTCTTTCTACGGATAATTTTATTCATCTTGAATGTGGCTCTATTAATAGACCAACAGTATAGCTGATGAGAGGGCTCCACATAAATTATTCCATATAATGTTGAAAGTGCATTGACTCATGACGTTCTTTTGACCTGTGGGCTGTACTTTCCAGATCGGGAACTGGTCTAGATGGCTTACTGACCTATTTGGTATTGATGAGGACGACTCACTTCAAGACAACGATGACCTTAATGATGGGGAACAAAATGCACCTTTCAAGTCCTTCCATCTTCTTAATGCACTGAGCGAACTCTTGATGCTTCCTAAGGATATGCTACTGGGTACATCTGCCAGGAGCGAGGTTTGGTGATGAACTTGAGATGTTCCTAGTTTTCTCCATTATCGTAACTGCAAAGAGTTTCCTTCCTCAGTCATGATGAAAGGAATTTTGTTTGTGAAGGTATGCCCGATGTTTAGCGCACCAGTAATCAAGAGGATTTTGAACAATTTTGCACCAGATGAGTTTTGCCCTGATCCAATTCCAACTGCCGTTTTTGAAGCTCTGGATTCAGAGGTTAGATAAACAAATATGCACATTGTTTTCTTGATAATTCACTTAATGTCGTGATGAATTTCCTCCTCACCGTAGAGTATATTTCATGGAATTTATTTGAAATCTTTTTTTCGATCTTATACAGGAGGACCTCGAGGACGGTGGGGAGTCTGTCAAAAACTTCCCATGCATTGCGACTCCCATAGTCTATATGCCTCCCCCTGCATCTTCCACAGCAAGCATAATTGGAGAGGTTGGAAGCGAAACTAAGCTGAGAAGAAGCAGATCTTCGGTTCTCAGAAAGGCATACGCCAGTGATGATGAGCTCGATGAATTAAACTCTCCACTGTCTTTGATATCTAACGATGGTTTCATGTCTAAGCCACATTCTACAAAATCCAACTGGAAGTCGAAAGAAATTCAAAATTCATCTGCTGTCAGGTATAAACTCCTCACGGATGTATGGGCCAACAGCGAATAATCTCGCGGAGTCTGCACAGCGATGATACTCTCTGGCTGCTCCCTTTCTGGGAGGGACATCACTTGTACAAAAGAAACGGCGATATCCCCTTTGCCACATCAGATATAAATTCGTAACATAATGTATATTAATATTATTTAGACAATCACGACGTATAGCTTAGTACATAATATAGGGTCCTAGAGGCCAGAACAGATATCTGATAGATTGAGGTGTTTTTATCCAACACACGCTTGTTTCTAATTTTGTTTAATAACAGTTTGTCCCGTAATGGAAATGCAGAAAGTCTTCAGTAGAATCGAATATCAATGGTCGTATGATTTATTCTAAAAAGAAAACGACTGCAAGTACCACCAGAAGTTGAGGCATTGACCCAATAGACAGCTATCGCATCTTTTGCTAGTTTAGCATCTAGTTATAAGCAAGCCTGAAATTAATGGACTGAAAAATTAAGAACCTGATTGAGGATGCTCGATAATAAGATATCTGGGATATCTTATCCTCCTCGGCGTTCGCCTGGCTCGAAAGTAATTAACGAACAGAGTCAAGGGGGAAGATATACTGGTCCGCCACTAGCGTGCATTCTGATTTGAGTGGGCGCTTGCGAGAAAGCAGACCGGCACAGAACAGTTCAGATCCTCGGAACCCAAAAGCCATCGTCACATAATTATTGGACGGCATTGTCACCCAAAATTAACGAGCTGAAAAAAAGCGCACAGAACCAGAAAAGAAGATAACATGCTCACTTGTAAAATATAGTGGTCATACAGGGCCGTATTCTGTGCCTTTCTTTACTTTAGGCAACATACCAAGGGTATAGTCTCGGTGTTTTCCAAAATTAAAAAAAAAACGAATAAAGATACGAAACAAAACTGCGGAAATTATTAAAAAATTTCCGATTAACTCTGGCTCTCATATTCACAAGTACTAGAACGCCGCGAAGGAATGTGAACGATGGGTGGAAGAGTGATGGCCCATTAGGCAGTCAACTTCGTGTAGAACTATTAGCATTAATGTGCTGAAGATGTAATGCAAGCCAGAAGCCCCTGCCAGGTTTCTCCAGGTCCACCGGCCACTTCAAAATTAATAAGCTTCTCCTGCTTACA